TCTTATTCCATCTTCAGCTCAATCAAGGTAAATGCCCCCTGTTTTGGTCTTCCATTTGGTTGTTCATCTTTAGAGCTTAGATTTTGGGTGCATTTAGGGCTTTCTAAGCCATTTCGGATTTGTGAGGTGATTCATGGGGATTCTACTTTCAGATCTGAGCCATTGGTGGGGTCCCATGGCATAAAGGTGCCAACTATATGGCCATGAGAGCCCCATGCACATTGTAGAGCACCTTTTATGGATTTTTGAGCCAAAGACCCCATGCATGTGCACCAAGTTTGGAACTTTACGTATAAAATGGACATTAGGAGGCCAGATCTATGGTTTTGACATGTTAAGACCCATTTAAATCGACTGTATAGTAAGGGTCAAGAAGGGACTCGACGAGTTGTTCTTGAAACTCGGCGAGTCGGTGTGTAGTGACCACTAAATCCCTTCTGTGGTTGGACTAGTGGTTCGGGAAGGAAGTCCCGTAAATGTTTAGACTCGTAAAGGGACATGGGAATCATGGGACTCGACGAGTGTATGAACAGACTCGGCGAGTCCAAGGCAACCTCCCAACCTTTGAAGATGGACTCGACGAGTTGTTCATACAACTCGGCGCGTCATAGACTGGACACGTTCTTATGAGGGAGATGAACTCACCGAGTTGAAGGAAGAACTCCGCGAGTCGGATGAAGATGTTCCCGATGGTTTGAATGAAGGAGAACTCGACGAGTTCTCGCAAGGCTCGACGAGTGGTGACAGGGTTGGATCGGGTTATTGGAGCATGGTAGACCAACTCGGCGAGTCAGGTCAACTGGGCGTTGACTTTGATCAATGTTGACTTGCCTGGTTTTGGTATTGACCCTGGTTGGGTTGTATGTTCGGTTTGATGACTTGAAGGTTGTCGTGTAGGGATTGAGGAGTCGAGGAGGGCCGACCTTCGCGCCGAGGACAGTTCAGACACTACACGACATCGATGTGAGTTACCTTCCAGTAGCGGTGGGTCTACGGCCACAATGCCGGCCCACCAGTAGGATTTGTATGTTGGATGATTGTCTTTGTGATATTCATCTAGGTTTGCTACTACCTGTTATGTTTATGTGCTAGCATGATATGATGTTACGTGATGATGGTAGTAGTAAGGGGAAAATAGTCCCCAAGTTACCGGCCGATAGGGTCGAAAGGGTAGCTTAGTACCCAACTATGTTAGATTATGATTACGTGACTGTATGTGATAGACCGGTCGAGAGGACCGAAGGGGTAGGCCAGCACCCATAAATGCTAGGCGAGGTCACCGGTCGAGAGGAACGAAGGGGTAGGCCAGCACCCAGAAATGCTAGGCAAGGTCACCGGTCGAGAGAACCGAAGGGGTAGGTCGGCACCCAGATATGCCTGACAGTATGTATGTCATGTGTTTGTATGGTATGTGGTATGATGGGGGAACTCACTAAGCTTCGTGCTTATAGTTTTCAGTTTTGTTTCAGGTACCTCTTCAGCGAAGGGGAAGGAGCCGGCGCGGTAGCTGCACATCATACACACATTGGATTCCGCATTATGAGATTTCTTGGGATTGTACTCTGACATCGTCACTACTTTTATGATATGATTTTCAGACATGAGATTATGGTTTTTACGAAATGATATGACTTCATGATATTTTCTTATAAATGTTTTCTATGTTGTATACCAAAAATCGAAATTTTTGGACTTGAAAAATGGGATGTTACACTCTCATGGCTATACTCAAATAAGACCCTCCGGTCAATGTGTCTCAGTGGGACCCTCCGGTTCCACAACTCGGGTGGACCCTCCGGTCCTAACTCAGCAAGATCAGAATAATACACAACATAAATCACATAGACAAAATGAAGGATATCACAATACTCAATATAAGCACATAAGACCCTCCGATCACACAAAGGTTACCACTCTAGGTAAGTATAGTGAGAAGACTCACCTCGTAAGAAATCGGATAACCTTGAACTCAAATCACCGGTCTAGCCTCCGCCTAATACATACGATAATTATCTCTAATTAATAACGACTCTCAAAGAAGCTAGACTAAACCCTTCCACAAACTCACAGAAGGATAAAAGACCATTTTACCCTTCCATGGCCTTAATAGTCCACAAATTAACCAAACCCTAAAAGTCAACGGCAGTGCGTACGCCGCGCGTACAAGCCCTCTATGCTGGGCGTACTCCTTCGCCATGCACGCATCGGGGATTCTCGACCCTACGTTGCGCAGGCTGGGATTACACTCAGCGTACGTGAAAGTTTTGTTCTTCCTACTCATTTGGTCTTAATCCGTTAAGACCTTAGGTCAAATATCAGATCTGGACTCCCTAAAGGCTCATACTCCATAAAGTCTGTGACTTTAAGCCTTTGCATGGCTGAAAAAGTCACAAACACCAAAACTCTCACTCTCTATTCTCAAGAATGCTCATATCTCATGCATGGGGTGGTTTTGACGTCCAAGACTCCATTTTTATGAAACCACTCCATTAAATCACTCAAAGGGACATATATTAGGCTTTGGAGTTTCAACAACTCATAAAGCTTCAAGCTTTGGGACCAAAAACCCTAAAATGGACCACATAAAACACAAATAAAAAAGGATGAGAAAGCTTTGAGCTTTATACCTCTAACTGAAGCTCCAACCACAGATAAGCTCAGATCCAAAGTCTGGACTCCTACTCCTTCCTCTTCAAAGCTCCTTCTTCACTCTAAAGAAACCACAAGAACACTTAATAGCTCACAAATGGACACACAAGCTCAAGGGACGAGAAATTAGGGTTTGAGAGGGTTGAGGTTTGGGAATGGTGGCCATAAATAAGGCCATCATGTTCTTTATATAGGGACACACCCTTAATTAGGGTTTTCACTCTGGGCCTAGTACGCCCAGCGTACTAGGTGGCTTCCGCGTCAAAAAGACGCATATGAGTATGCTGAGCGTACACACGCGTACGCCCTGCGTACTCACTTACCACCTTTTCTCTAATAAAGGGCCAAACTTGACAATTACCAAAAGAACAAGGGTTGATGAGGTATACCTGATTTAGGGATGTTACACTGACAATATGTTTAGACATCCTAATCCTAAACTCTCTGATATAAGACTTTAGAATACTTATAATTCTTTCATGTTTTGGAATGATTTTGATTTAATTCTTTTAGTATTTGAGATTCGTAAGACTTAATATATTTCCAAATCTTATTGCCTATCATGACGAATATATATATATATATATATATATATATTATATATATATATATATATATGTTAATTATTGGTTACTTTATCGAAAAAACTTCTTTCTTTATTATTTTCTTTTAATACATATCACATGACATTGGGTTCCCTTTCACACACTAGGGGGTGTTTGGATAGGGAAAAAAGAGGGTGATTATTGCTTATTGCTTATTCCCACCACAATAAACTAAGTTTAAGTGTTTGGATATGAATCCTTAAAAATCAGCTTATTGTGGTAAAAATAATCTAAATAACCTGATTTTAATAAGCATCTCCCCCCTGAAAGGTCTAGTATGCTCAAGAGTCATATTAAAGTGATATTGCTAAATAACATATGATATTAATGGGTCACACTAACAACAACTTGATACGATTGATTATTTACTGGAAATTGATTTTAATAAATATTGAATAAAACTCCTATAATTAAATTGGAAATTATTTATTTCTAGGAAATAATTAATTTTCATTAGCAAGTAACATAATATATCATATGGTATGATATATTAAGTCATTTACAACATTTTGGACCATAAAGACTTTTTGTCTTTAACAAAAAGTTACGGTTTATATTTTATAAAAGAGTTTATAAAATTTACCTTGTTTGACTTTTTTTTATACAAAAAAAAAACGTGAGCATGCTTACAAACATGCTAGTGATGGGTTTTTGATTTGTTTAATAAAAAGAAATCATGCTTTAGAAGCATGCATGGACATTATTATAATATGGAGACAAGTTTGTCTAAAATTGAAGGAACTAATGGTTATTAACTTCACTTTATGCATATAAATAAGAGGGCTTGCACTTGGCTTCTTTGCTCATTCTCTTCTTTGATGCAAGGCCGAAACTTGTTTCTTCCCTCTCATTCTCTCTAGTTTTGCTTTGAAGACATGAAGATTACTTGCTTTCACATGCCCCTTCAAGTTCATATTGGTTATGAACTTAAAGCTTAAGGGTTTAATAGTTTTGGACTAGCATCTACATCAAGTTGAGTCATTGTTGGTGTCTCAAAGGTTCCACATTCTTCGTCAGCTTCCAAGCCTCCCACGAGGACCCAAAGAACTACAAAGGTTATTATTTCTTCATCATTTCTTTGGTTGATGTTTAAATCTTTCTATAATTTGCAAGAATATCATTGGTGGGTATAAAATGTTTATGTTATTTCAAAATTAAAGTCTTCTGTTGCCATATTTTTTTAGTTTATGAAACTATTTTTGAACTAAAACCCAACACCCCTTTGTTTATTGCTTATTGCTTATTCCCACCACAAACACTTTTGCAAAAACTATTTATTCCCACCGCAATAAGCTAATAAGTTATAAGCTAATTTATCCAAACGACCGTAAGAATGTAAGAATGATATGCCATGAAAAGAGGAAAAAGAACGAAAAGAGAGATATAGAGAGGGAGAAAGAGACGGCAAGAAAATGTCGCACAACTCAAACTAGTGATGTTTACTGCGATAAAACATGAGACATAAGTTCCACCTCATTCTTACTCTTATTGCACTCCACTCCCACCTAACCTATTGAAAATAAGTTACTTGCATGAATAACCTCGTCCTAAATTATCACCAATCCTAGCCCTAATTCATACTTCACATTCCATCGAGTAGAGCTTTCCTTCAATTAAAGTTTTAATTTAAGTCGAGTCTGTATACTTCATAAAGACAATGGCTTGAAAAGTTAAAGACCTTTGTTTCATTAGACGCGAACTCGATTATTTGAAATGACACAATGAAAGCCAGACGCTTACTCATGAATGAGGTCATTACGCAGCATCGTCGAAACTTCTGTGTATGCTTTGTCGACGACGACCCTGGCGGCAAACCATTGTGAAGTAGTCAAGTTAGGAACTATCAGGGATACTTACACTGCCAATATTCTATTAGGAGGTTATTTAAAAATCAGAGAACTGCGAATTGCCTGCAAACTGTTCGACGAAATTCCTCAAAAAGACACTGTTTCTTGGAATTCATTAATAGCTGGTTACGTGAACTATGGAGATCTTGAGAGTGCCTGGGAGGTTCTAATACGTATGAAACGTTGTGGGTTTTGCTTTGATGGTTACACATTTGGTAGTATACTCAAGGGTATTGCTTCTAATGATTGTCTCTTTGCTGGGCAACAAGTGCATGCGAATATCATTAAGACAGGGTATGATGAAAATGTGTACTCAGGAAGTGCTCTTTTGGACATGTATGCAAAATGTGGTGGAGTGGTGGATGCACATAAGTGTTTCAATTGCATCCCTAACCCGAATTCAGTGTCATGGAATGCTCTGATTTCCGGGTATGTTGAAACTGGTGACCATGTGAATTCTTTTCAGCTATTCAAATCGATGCATAGGGAAGGTGTGAGGCTTGATGATGGCACCTTTTCCCCAATTCTAACATTGTTTAATAAACCTGAGTTCCATGAGCTAACAATGCAGGTCCACTGTGCGATCATAAAACATGGTATGGAATCTGATAGCTCTGTACTTAATGCTACAATCAGTGCTTACTCCAAGTGTGGGTCAATCAAAGAAGCCAAGGTGGTATTTGATGGTGGAGTTGACTTTCGTGACATTGTCTCTTGGAATGCCATGCTGGCAGCTTGCTTGGAACATGATGAACGAGTCCTTGCATTTAATCTTTTCTCCAAGATGCAAATATTGGGATTTGAACCCGACATTTATACATACACTAGCATGATAAGTTCTTGCTTCGAAGAAGAAATCCGGAATCAAGGACAATCTTTACATGCATTGGTAATCAAAAGGGGAGTCGAACATCTGACACCAATTTCAAATTCATTGATGGCTATGTTTAGTGGACCTCCTGGCAACTATATGGCATATGCAATAAGAATATTCGAGCACATGGAGTTCAAAGACCGAGTTTCTTGGAATTCAATGTTAACAGGACTTTCACAACATGGGTTTAGTGAGAATTCCTTGAAACTTTTTCAGATAATGCAATCTGGAAACCTAGAGATGGATTATTATGCATTTTCTGCAGTCCTTAGATCTTGTGCAGATCTGGCAACCTTACAATTGGGTCAACAAACCCATGGTCTGACCATAAGATCAGGTTTTGAGTCTAATGAATTTGTAACTAGCTCTTTGGTAGTCATGTACTCTAAGTGTGGGATCATTGAGGATGCTAGAAGATCCTTTGAAACTTCCCATAAACAAAACTCAGTTACATGGAACTCGATGATGTTTGCATATGCCCAAGATGGTCAAGGTCATGTTGCACTGGATCTTTTCTCTCAAATGAGGGAAAGAAAAGTGAAAGTGGATCATATAACTTTTGTTGCAGTTCTAACTGCATGTAGCCACATTGGTTTAGTTGAAGAAGGATATGAGTTTTTAAAAAATATGGAATCTGATTATGGGATTTCACCTCGAATGGAACATTATGCTTGTGTGGTTGATCTACTGGGACGTGCTGCACGTCTCAAAGAGGCAAAAGAGGTGGTTGGGTCAATGCCATTTCAACCTAATGCAATGGTATGGAAGACTTTATTGGGGGCTTGTAGATTGTGTGGTGATGTTGAATTAGCTATGGAAGTGGGAAACTTTTTATTGAAATCAGAACCTTATGAACATTGCACTTATGTTCTTCTATGTGACTTGTATGGACATCTTAGGCGATGGGATGAAGTTGCTGTTTTAAAGAGAATTATGAAAGAGAAAGGGGTGAAGAAGGTACCAGGTTGGAGTTGGATAGAAGTTCAGAATCAGTTGCATGCCTTTAATGCTGATGATCATTCACACACTCGAAACCAGGAGATATACCAAATGTTGACAAAATTAACCAATAATATTGCAAGTTTGAAGATTTTTTATGATCCGGATACTTTGATGCATGATTGTGATTATGTTATTATGAATAGAAGACCTACCATGCTTCAAGATTCAGAAGCTTCATTTTCTATGGAATGCTATTAAGTTGCTACATTTGGAATGTCGGATCAAATCTTGACCACTGGAAGGCTCTTTGAGATGTAAATCAGGTACTTCATATATTTTCTACATACGAGTTTTTAAAAGTTTGTTAAATTTTGAGATCTTAATCGGGTACATATTGATATTGTTGCTCAATCTTTGTGTTTATGTCCTCCGAAATTTATAATGTTATAAAATTTGGGGTTTATTGTCGAAGGTATAGGTTGCCAAAGTATGGTAGAACTAGGTGTGGATTCTGTTAGCTATTTCTAAGATTATCTGTGTTTATTATCGCCATTTTGTTTTAGTATTGAAGTAAAAGTGTTGTAGGGTTATTAGCTGACTAGTTAAGGCCATCTCCACCTATACCAAATCCCATTTGTTGTACCATTTTTTGCATCGTTTTGGTGTAAACGAATTGTATAACACCAAATTTGGTGTCATGTGCCAATTTTAGTCCTTCAAGTTTTAGGTTTATACATTTCGCGTTTATTTAATCGTATAGTTGTATTTTAAACGTAATAATTGTTACTTGTAATATTATGTTATGTATTAAATTGATATTAATTAATCATGGATATTTTACGTTACGAATGTATTTAAATGCAATTCTTTTTATATAACAAATTTTTCTTTACCCATATAATAATCTATTCGGATGAATTATATATGAATAATTTATTTGGCTATAGTTGTGTAATAATATAATTTATAAAGTTATTGTAATGCAAAATATGTAAGACAATTTTGTAACGCTAAAAAAATATAAGGTGTGTTTTGAAAATCTATATAAGTTACAAAAAAAGAATATACTTTTTGTTGTTAAAGATGGTGTATTTGGTTGTATGAAACTATCACTGTTTGCACCATTTTACACCATTTTTTGTGCATATGGTGTTATGGGATGAGCTTTGAAATCACCTTCTACATGAATATAATTACATATACCTTTCAAAAGTGCCCTCTGTCTCTGTGTCAAGATATATACAAGCAGAGTGTCACCATAGCATGAAGAAACAAAGTTTACAACCCTAAGAATATCTTTAAAATACAATTAGTAATGGTAACTATCACTTAAGGTATAAAATATGCATAAAGAAGTTGTTAGTGGATGCCTAATAGTGGAGATTATGGGATTGCCAATTTGCCATTGCCTACCACCTCCACCATAAGGTTTAGTTTACTGTGATTCATGAACTTCTTGGAGATTCATATATATTTTATACAATCTGATAGACTTAACCACTATTATCTCACTAATCCATGAATTTTAACAATATTAAAACCATTAGTGATTCAGCTTATGCAGATTTTTATCTTACTAGTTGCAGGTTTACCGAAATTTGCAGCCGCCATACATCATAGCACTATATAGTATATTACTAGTTTCAGATGCTTTGTCAATATCCACTTTTTCGTGATAAATTATTTTATTAACCTTGTTGATGAGACGACTTCATTTATATGACACTATATATATATACGTTAAGTCATAAGTGATTCTCCAACTATAATTCACATACCATTTGACTCGTCATGAAGAACTCAACCAACATCACCTTTGCATGGTTCATAACCATCTCCATGTTATGTTTGCTTGCAAATTCTCAACTAACAACAACTTTTTACTCAAAGTCATGTCCCAACCTTCTCAGTATTGTACGCAAACAAATGATGAACGCGATCAAAACCGAAACAAGAATGGCAGCTTCTTTACTCCGCCTTCACTTCCATGATTGTTTTGTAAATGTAAGTCCTTATTTAATCATTTAATCCATATAATGCCAAATTACCCATCTTAACATCAAAAAAAAAAAAAAAAAAAAAAATAGGGGTGTGATGCATCAATTTTATTGGACGGAAGCAACGGAGAGAAAACCGCTTTTCCAAACATCAATTCCGCTAGAGGATACGAGGTGGTGGATGCCATTAAAACCGCTGTGGAAAGCTCGTGTAGTGGAGTAGTTTCATGTGCTGACATTCTCGCGATAGCTGCCCGGGATTCCGTTCTCTTGGTAAGTATCAAAACATCCTGCCCGAATTAGAAAAAGAAACTGACCGCAAAATCAAATCATTTGCAGAGTGGGGGACCATCATGGAAGGTTTTACTAGGAAGACGGGACGGGCTTGTGGCGAACCAATCTGGAGCTAATTCAAAACTACCCGCGCCATTTGAGTCGGTTGGTAACATCACACTCAAGTTTGAAGCTGTAGGCCTTAATCTCACCGACGTCGTGTCACTATCAGGTAGGTATACTGTGTTTGACGTGTATTGGACTGAGATTGATACTGATACTGTAAAAATTGTAGGTGCGCATACGATCGGGTTAGCGAGTTGTGCTACGTTTCAAAACAGATTATTTAACTTCTCGGGATCAAATGGTCCGGATAGCACGATGTTGGATGGGAACATGGTGTCGGGGCTTCAGAATTTATGTTCACCCGGAGATGTTACCCGGACAACTCAACTTGACTGGAACTCAACGGATTTGTTTGATAATAATTATTTTCAAAATTTGGTCAAAGGGAGGGGAGTTCTTGAGTCTGATCAGTTTTTGTATTCGAGTGCTCAGGCTGTGTCAACTACAAGAAGTCTTGTTGATGTTTACAGTAAAAACCCCAAGCTTTTTTCTGATGATTTTGCTAATTCCATGGTCAAAATGGGGAACATAGAACCACTTACTGGGTCGGCTGGAGAGATTAGGAAGAATTGCAGGGTTGTTAATTCCTAATTTGACTACTGTTTCTTTTTCTAAGATTATGTAACAGAAGTTATTATATCCTGCAGGAGTTAGATGCAAATAATGGGAATAAAGTGTTTTTTTTTAGTTAAACCCTTTGGATTCTGTATAAATTCTGCGTGATTCCACATTACCTAATTACCATGACTTAAAAAGATTGAATATTTGTTGATTAGACGGATGGATAATTAGGTAATCTAAAATAATAGGTTTCCCTTATATGATCTTATAATTACTCTATCTTAAATCAAATTATCTCAATTTCAAGCAATTAAAAAAAATACTAATCGCAATTAGTTTTTGCCGGATATCCAAAATCCTCTTTAGTTATATCTTATAACTTGCAAGTGTGAAAAACACCACTTCAATGATAGAGCAGATTCATGCCCAAACCACCAATCTTCCCTCCCTCAATTTCTTGGTTATAAAATCAAAAAGTACTCATTTATTACCTTCTCGCATTGATTCAATTCGGGTACATCAATTGTCACTCACTGATTTGGAAGGCATTACACACAGAAAGTCTTAATTTGTCTAGTACACAACATAACGTACAAGAACTCAACTTTTTCCAAAATGCAGAACTGCAAACATTTCGATCAACAGCCCTGTTCTTGTGTTCTCTGTACACAAGCTTCAAGAAAGCCCTTTCACCCTTCCAGTTTCAGTGTCAAGATCAATGTCATAAAAGCAAGGGCGTGTAGGAAGTCCAGGCATTGTACTCATCGTCCCCCACCAATGGGTAAATAAACCCAGCACCAACACTTCCCCTAACATCCCTAATAGGTAACACAAATCCTGTAGGGGCTCCCTTTGCTGAGGCATTATCAGAAAACGAGTATTGCGTTTTTGCCATACAGATTGGCAAACCAGAAAACCCTTGTTTGCTATACATCTCAATCTGTTTCTCCGCCTTTCAAATCAAAAAGAAAGAAAAATACGGAATCATTAACTTGTTTGAAGTTTACAGGGATTTGATTCTGTTAAAAAGAAAAAACCCTAGAAAGTTATACCTGTTCTGAGTACTCAACACCACTAGCACCATATGATCTTGCTATGGCTTCTATCTTCTCTTTGATGCTTATATCCAAAGGGTACAAGAATCTCAAAGGTTGTGTCGCGCTTTCACAGGCTTTTTGTACAGCAATCCCAAGCTCAATCTAGGGACAAAATCGACATTTACTATCACGTTAATTATATATATTTTTTTCAATAAAGTTAAGAATGAAGATCAGTGATGACTAACCGCTCCTTTTCCACCATGGGCATGGTGAGTGCAAAGAACTGCATCAAAAGCACCAGCTCCAATGGCAACGTTCTTGACAGCAGCAATTTCTGCATCAGTATCAGTTGAAAACTTATTCACAGCCACAACAACATTCACCCCATACGCCTTTGTGTTCTCAATGTGTCGAATCAAATTCACACACCCTGCTTCAACAAGACCGACGTTTTCATTAACATAAGCCTTATCAAGCGGTTTTCCGGCAGTTACCAAGGGCCCACCACCATGCATCTTCAGAGCCCTAATCGTGGCCACAATAATAGCACATTGAGGTTTCAACCCGCTATATCGGCATTTAATGTTCATAAACTTTTCGGTTCCTATATCCGATCCAAAACCCGCTTCTGTCACAACATACCCACCAGGGCCCACCAGCTTCAACGCAATTTTATCAGCCACAATTGAAGAGTTTCCATGGGCTATGTTGGCAAACGGGCCCGCATGAACAAGAACAGGGGTGCCTTCAAGAGTCTGCATTAGGGTTGGATTAATGGCGTCTTTCATGAGCACAGTCAATGCGCCACCAAGCCCAAGATCATCAGCTGTTACAGGGTCACCGGATTTGCTGTTTCCAATCACCATCTTCCCGAGGCGTTCTCTCATGTCAGATAAAGATGTTGTCAGGGCTAAAACCGCCATTATCTCACTAGCAACTGATATGTCAAAAGCTGTTTCTCTCACCATTCCTTTCTCATCAGGGCCTTGACCCACAGTGATTTTCCTCAAGAAACGGTCATTTACATCCATAACCCTCCTCCATGTGATGCTATCAGGGTCAATGTCAAGTCTTGCAAATTTGTTGACTTCTTCTGGGGTCAAATCCTCGGGTTTTGTTTTGGTAATATTCAGCTTTTTTAATCGTCTGAACATTATGTCATTGAAAGTGCGGACACCTTCTTTGTTTGGTGGGCATAAGCGACTGAACAGAGCTTTATCACTTTGTGTATTTTCATGGAAGATTCGTGTGTCAATGGCAGCAGCAAGAAGGTTGTTTGAGGCAGTGATTGCATGAATGTCACCGGTCAAATGAAGATTGAACTCGTCCATGGGGATGACTTGACTGTAACCACCACCGGCTGCACCACCTTTGATCCCAAATGTTGGCCCTTGTGATGGTTGTCTGAGGGTGGTGACAACCTAACAACATCAAGAATGTGATCATGAACATTAAACCCTAATTTTTACAAGAACCCACAACCTAAATTGCATTATATACAAGTAGAACAACAATGTTATAACTAAAGATCAAGATGTAATCATGTAATGACTGAAAGCCATATGAGATTCTAGATATGAAAATGAAAAATGTGAAAATTAAGTGAAGAATGTTTACCTTTTTATCAAGGAAAGCTCCCAAAGCTTGACAAAGACCAACAGTGGTAGTAGACTTGCCTTCTCCAAGAGGTGTTGGAGTAATTCCTCCAACAACAACATAATACCCATCTTGTCTTTCTTTGAGTTCATCAAAAACAGACAACAAAACCTAAAAAAAATCCAAACACCCAAATCACAAAAAAAAAAAAAAAAAAATCTAAAATTTTCGCATACCCATATCATTGCACAACAAAATCCAGAATTTACACATACTTAAAATCGCTAAATCAGTCGTATAATATCTCGGTTGAGAAAAGAGCTCCGTTTTCAATGGCCATTTACATGATCCCATTTGGCTTTTCTCTTTTAAAAAAGATTCTCGGAAATCGATTTGAAGTAATAAAAAAAAAGGAAGTAACATCCGATATCAATTTTATAGCTTTTGGGGATCAAATGGGTATTTTATTTCTTTAAGTTCATTATTCACAGACAACAAAACCTAAAACTTACACATGGCCAGATAATAATAAAAAATGGCCAGATCATAACATACTACACAAAAAAGAGATTAAGTTTGACTTTTGACGACAAACCTAGTAGTATCCAGTTGTAAGATCGATAACAAAATTTTCCCAAGATCTACCTGAAGTAAAGAGAGGTCACTTTGACTTCCAAAGTCAGACTGTAGCTATGGGGACTAAATTACATCGCTAACAAACGAAGTGTAAATTAAGATTGTACAAAGAAATGCGAAGAGCACATACCTTGGCCTTGTATTTTCCGTAAAGATCATAGTGGTCAGGGTTAAGATTGAGATCTTTAGCAATCTCAGCGATGTGTAGAGGAATAACAGAATTTGCAATATCTATATCTGCTGGAACAGGAGATACCACTTCTAATTTTCTTGAACTCATCTTTGTTCTTCGAGATAAAGGGGGGTTTTACGCAAAGATCTTGGATTTCTTCCCCTAGGTTTTAATCTTTTTATAGAAAAGAATAAAAAAACAATGAATCTATGTCATTCGTTCTTGGATGCACTGTCAGACTGTGTTTATGAATAATTGTGATTAGTGTTGAATATTGAAATGCGGACCTTGTGTGGGCTTGGTCCTATTGATCAAGGATAGTGGAGCCCATGCAATTGCAGTTGCATTTTACTCTATTTGACTTTCTACGAGTGACACTTTGAAAAAATCAAATGTGAAAATCCGATAGTTGATGACAAATTATAAAAATATTTATATGTTTACCTTCGTGGTTTTAGTTTCTAATATAGTTGGTTTTTTTTATGGTTTTTTCTAATTATTTTAAAGATAAAATTGCAAAAATGTTCCATATGCTAAGTCAAAAATCATCATTTTGGTTTAAAAAGTTTTGAACTTAGCGACACTGATTTAAAAAGTTGATTTTGTTACGAGTTTTGTCTAATTCAAAAGTCATTTTTGTCATTTATATTTGTTTTTCCATTTTCTTTTTATTACTTTCATTAAAATAAACTAAAATAAAAAACCTACCCCTAATAACTTACCCACACCCCACACCACCCCACTAATTTCCCTCATCAGAGACTCTATCTTTCTACCTCTCTTTACTATTCGTCGGAAATCACCTATATTGTCGGAAACCACCATTGCCACTGTCGAAATCCACAACCACCATCGTCCTTTGTCCTCTTCGATTAGGGTTTCACCACCACCGTCCTTGTTGGAAACAACCGTCGTGCCACCGCCATTCGTCAAGTTACACGGAAACCACAAAAACCAAATTCATCGACGTGGAGAAAACTCACCAATAACTACCAGATCTAAAAGATGATGATAGAGAAAACCCACCGCGAGGAAACCCAAACGCCATTGTCATGGGGAGTACCGATGTGGTACTCAAGACGACATAATTAATTCAGCAGGTTTGCGGTAGACTTCAGACAGCACAGAGCCGAAAAAAGAGCTACGCAGATAGACGCCGGTCAGACTTGAAGTTTCAGGTTGGGGATATGGTACTCCTGAAGGTGTCACCTTGGAAAGGTGTCATTCGATTCAGGAAGCGGGGTAAGCTAGGCCCTAGGTATATTGGTCCTTTCAGAGTGTTAGCCCGGGTGGGCAGGGTTGCGTATCGTTTGGATCTGCCAGAGGAGCTAAGTCAGAATCATAACACTTTTCATGTCTCTCAGCTACAGAAGTGTTTGGTTGATGATTCTGCAACTGCAATGGTTCCATTGGAGGACATTCAGGTGGATAATCGTTTGAATTATATAGAGAGACTGGTGACGATCCTTGACAGGAGGACTAAGACTCTGTGAAACAAGGTTGTAAATCTCGTGAAGGTGAAGTGGCAGCACCGAAGGGGTTCTGAATGGACGTGGGAGCCAGAGGACGAGATGAGGGAGCATTAG